TCTTCTCCAACTCCTATGTATTGTGATAAAATACTAGTGCTATTCAGAATCTCTCACAACTCTATATTCCATAAACGCAAAAAGTATATTGAGATTGATTGTTATTTGGTTCGTCATCATCTGCAGATTGGCACCATTTCCCTACCTTTTGTTTCTTCATCATTGCAACATGTTGACTTCTTCACTAAGTATCATACAGTTCATTGTTTTCGCTTCTTGCGTGACAAACTCTCGTTACTTCTTGCTTTAGCATCGTGAGTTTGAGGAGGGATGATAATATAATATTTATTTATTTAATATATAGTTTTCCTTATTAGTTTAGATTTCCTTGTAATATATAAACAATTCCAATTCATTGTAAACCCTAATATTTTGCTTAATAGATTATTGGTTCTCTCCTTCTTTTCTTTTCTTTTCTTCTCTTTGAATTGATTCACAATATTGGTTCAAAATAGTTTATGTTGTTAACGGATATAAGGGTGATCTTGATTTGAAAGAATGGTGAAAACTATAGGTCAATTTATAAAGTGTGTAAAATGGTGACATCTCAATGACTACTCGTCATTACACCAAAATTTTTTCCTTCTTTCCCACTCCCAAGTACATTGTATAAGTTATAGACTTATAGGTTATCTGTATGTGATAATGAAGTCATTCATGAAGCTTATAGCATCCCAAATAAAGCAAATGTACTGTCCTCCCTTACACTTTGTTTTCTAGTTTTCAGCTAATCTCCAAGTGTTTAAGAACAAAAACCCATCCTAGGTGAGGTGTCTTGTGCATGAATGAAGTGGTAATGACAATTGAACCTCAATTCTTAACCTATTTATTAAATATTAATTTTAATCTAAAAGTATGCAACTTGAATCACCTCGAACGGATACTTGTACAGCCCAAACGAAGCTCTGAAAGTTGGCTATCCAATCACTGACATCTAAAAGTTTCAATATTCATTTCAATTTCGGGTCCTCGTTTTGGATTTCTTTATGATTTAGTTCCTTAGTTTATGCCTTATCTATCTATATAAACATTTATTTAGGTCCCTAACATTTGAATTTGGTTCCTAAACTTAATTAATCGTAATTTCTGCACATGACGTTACTTCGAAATACTTCTAGATCCTTTCAAAAAGTCCCTAACCTCCAGATTTCGCCCTAAAGTAATTAAAAGTACCTTAAAATTATTGTGACGTTACTGCTCCTGTATAGGTGGAAATAAAAAAGTATTAGAATCTTGTCACTAAAAGATAATAAGAAATTAAAGATCATGATCGCTGGCTTTTTCCCATGTAATTTGGTTAAAGGTTTTTAAAAAGCAATTGTAAATGAAGTTGAAAGGAATAGAAATACTAATGTCGTGTGTGTGTGTGTCTATATATATACACATTCAAAAAATTTATTCCAATTATATCAACATTTAGGCTATATTTTACTTTGTGTTTATAATTAATTGTTTGTGAACCTATTGACTATTAATTATTATTACACCTCATCCGATGAGGCTCCAAAAGCATATCACATGGCAAACAACTAGCCAAAAAAATTAGGTTCTACTTAGCATAGTCAAATCCCCATTGGCGGGTGAGGTCCTTTAATAGTCGTAATGATGTAATCATCGAATCCCCTTGAACGATATGAGGTTTTTTAGTAGTTGAAGTGATGTAATCCATCGAACTCCTGTATAGAGGCTTCTCTCCATGAATGAGATGAGACAATGTGAAGCTGTGTAGCACCAATCGAATGAGAATGACCTCTAAGCTTATAAGACATGTTTTCTACACAAAATCTTCGATGATTAATTGACGTGATCTATTTACAGCAGCTACCCTATTAAGTCAACTTGTCAAGTCTACTACTTATATGTTAGGCCTAGTACACATATAAGTAGACTGACTTGATCGTTAGAGTGCTCGACAAAGAAAGTCAAGTGCCCTAACGATTTGTCCAAATGTGTAGGAGAAAATGCTTCGTGAGCGTGAGTAAAATCAGGATTTGTTGAGCACGTCATTCATGCGAGGATCGAGGTAAAAAAATATTATAATAATATTGAACATACAAATCTTTCCCTAGAAAATAATGCCCTCAGATAGTGTGAAATGAGAAAAAATAAATTGTGTCATATGAAGTTCCTATCAGTGGGCCTGTTCACACTGCATTATTGTATTGACACACCAAGTCTACGTTAGAATCTTATGTCCTCGGCTAGTGTGAAAAGAAGAGATTATGATTATGATGTTATAATAGTGTTTGTTTGCTGCACCTTTTTTTCTTTCCACTTTATTGTACAGTGGTTGTGGGACCCTTACGGAATAAGGAATTTCATTTTTCAATTTTGCTTGTGTTTCAAACACGAGAACAAAGGACAATAATGACAATACCAATTCCAACGTGTTGGTGTGCATTAAAATTTCGTGTTGCTCGTCATTCATGCGAGGATCGAGGTAAAAAAATATTATAATAATATTGAACATACAAATCTTTCCCTAGAAAATAATGCCCTCAGATAGTGTGAAATGAGAAAAAATAAATTGTGTCATATGAAGTTCCTATCAGTGGGCCTGTTCACACTGCATTATTGTATTGACACACCAAGTCTACGTTAGAATCTTATGTCCTCGGCTAGTGTGAAAAGAAGAGATTATGATTATGATGTTATAATAGTGTTTGTTTGATGCTCCTTTTTTTTTTCTTTCTACTTTATTGTACAGTGGTTGTGGGACCCTTACTTAACAAGGAATTTCTTTTTTCAATTTTGCTTGTGTTCCAAACACGAGAACAAAGGACAATAATGACAATACCAATTCCAACGTGTTGGTGTGCATTAAAATTTTGAATTGACACAGTACTATCATGTAAACTGCTAGATGTGCACTCTATCTAACATCCTTTATTTATTTATTTTTCATAGAATACTTAAAAAACAAAAAATTGTCTTTTCATCCAATAATCTTTTGCTAAAATATTTTTTGTTAATAAAATGGTAAAAGTTAGTGTATAAGTGGCACGGATATGATTGGCTAAGGTTCTGTTTGAGCCACATTTTTAAAAAAAATATATTTTTCAATAATGATTTGATATAATTTCAATCACACATTTTTCAATAAAATAATTTTATACATAAATTTAGAATTTTTCTTTTTTTCTTAATCATACATTTCTCATCAATATTCTATTTAAAAATATATTTTCATTTTAATAATGTGACTCAAAAAAGGGCTAAATTCCTTTAAAAGTGGGATTTTAAGAACGTCCATTAGGGCCGGCCAATGCAGATAGGGACAGAGAATGGTTGAATAGAGCAAAATCCCATTCGTGATTGGCGATTAGACTTGCATGGTGTAATGTGATTTTATTTCGGCTTGTTTGATATATATTAATGTAAAAATGAGAATGAAAAATATAATCGTTACGAATCTCACATAAAAGATAGAAAGTCAAATATAATAATTTAATGTGATGGATAATGGTTGTATTTTTCATTTTAATAGGCAAATAATGAAAAATAAACAGGGCTTAAATATGAGGTACAGCGGTTTTGTGCAACATGGGTGAGATGCGTGGGGTTTGGGCATCATTTTATAAAAGTTCAATTAATTACGACGACTTGACCAGTTTGGTCTTTCGCTTGCTTTTTGCACATGTCATGAGTAGGACAAAAAAATATTTCAATTTGAAGTCTATAGTTCCTAACATGTCTACATTTAGCCAATGTAAAAACTTCAATTTAGCTTTAACCTCTAAAATTGAACCTAAATTCAATTTCTGATTACACATGTTCATATTTTTAGTCCTTTTTTTCAAGTTGTTGTTTAGATTAAGGGCCTTAAGTCTAAAATTATATGATATAATAATCATTATTAATAATTGGCCGTGGATGAACTTTAAGCCCCTGTTTGGCCCCATTTTTGAAAAAAAAAAAAGAGTGGAATAGTATTTCTTGAAAAATGAGTGCTTGAAAATGGAAGATTGTGTGGTTAAAAATAAAAGATAAGTGGAATGTAATTTAATGAGTACAGACTAAATGACTATATATAAGTTTTATGCGTAGTATCTTGATGGGTGAATTTTTAGAGTGATTGTATCAATTTGTATTGACTAAAATAGATGACTTTGGAAAATTACATGCAAATTTTGTAGAAAAGTCTTTGCCTACATTTTTCTTGAAGTTCCCTTTTTATTTTTTATAAGTCCTCCTTTTATATTAAACAATAAATTTAGATTTATTAAAGTAAGAATATAGGTAAAAAAAAAAAAAAAAAAAAGCCGGACACGCGGTGAGTAATACATAGATAGTGTAAAAGAAGAAGCAAACATATTGAGCACCCGTTTGTTTCCCGTTATTTACTTATTAAAATGAAAAATATGATCGTTATACATCATATTAAGTAACCACATTTGAAAATATATCCTTTGTGTGGAGTCTATAACGGCTATATTTTTCATTTTCATTTTTCTATTAATGTGACTCAAACGGAACGTGAGATTTAGATAAGAAAAAAAGTTCTGTTGATTATAACTTTTTCAACAGACATAGGAGTGATGTACTTTGCTTGAGTTTTGATGCTTTTTAGTCGGTCTACTGTCTAATGACATTCTTAGAAAAAATAAGCAACAACCTAAAACCCACGATTTCACTATAATTTTTGTGGTTCAATTTCACCATATATTTTTTTATTCAAATTTATTCAATAATAAAAGGGAAAAAAAAAAATTATGTTAGAATGTTTCCCCATCCAACAATATCTTTGGAAGAGAGGGTTTAATGGTATTCAGATTTGAAGTTCCAAATTTTTTTTAACATTTACATTCATTGCTTTGGTTATGTAAGGACCAAAATTCACATATTTAAATAAGTTGGTACCCAAAATCATTTTTTGAAAGATTGGAAACCATAACTACGATACCTGAAAGATTGAGGAATTCGACATAATTTACCCTTATTTTTTTATTTAAAAGGAGTAGATGGTGGATGTCAAGAGGCATCAATTGCTGCCATCGACATTCAGACATCTCTCTCTCTGGATTTCGAAGAGGTATTTCTAGTTATCCTCTCTTTTATTGTGTATATATATATATATATATATATATATATATATGAGCTCATTTGGTAATTATTTTAAGTCAATTAAAATTAATTTTTTAATCGTTATTTTAATATTTTATTTTTGAATTCTTTTTTCGTAGAATCCACTTTATCACTCAATAAATTAATTATCAAAATTCCTACAGGTAAACTCTATACGTGTTTTGGAGTTTGTTGATCTGTGTTTTCAGAGTTCGTTGTTTCTATACATCTTCTTCCGGTTTGTTATTTATGTTTTAAAACCACAAAATTCACTCCCATATAACTGGTTTTTTTTCCCTGTATTATTTAAGGAAAATCAGTACATTCTAAAGAAAGTCTAGTTAAATATGTTGTCGGGTATAAATTTTCTTGCTTGAACATGATATAATAAAAAATAGGGTAATTGAAGAAGAGATGGCGGACGCTGCTGTGGATTTTCTGCTGGAAAACCTGAAGCAACTACTTGTTTACAATATTAAGCTTATCGGTGCCGTGAAGAGTGAGGTTGAAGAACTGTACAGTGATCTGAAAGTGTTCAAAGCCTTCCTCAAGGATTCAACGGGAAAACGACAAAATCATGAAGTCTTCAAAGAATTAGTGAACCAAATCAGAGATGTGGTATATGAAGCAGAAGATACTGTGGAAGCATTTGTTTGTCAGGCAGCTGAGCACAAAGCCCGGAATTATATCGAGAAGGCTTTTCATATATTAGATTACCCAGCAGAGCTTCGGAAGTCGGTGAAAACCATTGAGAATATCAGGCAGAGGGTAAAAAAGATTTATGAAAACAAGTTGTTTGGCTTCGACCAAAATCGGGAGGGATCTACCAGAGGCGCAAAGGAGAAAAAGGTATCTTATTTCAACCTTTATTTATTACTTTATTTTATTTACAATTTCTATGTTCTTGGATTATGGCTAGGACGGTAAATGGATCGGATTTATCTATACCCCATTTGATCTGATAAGAATAATTTATGGATCTGATATGATTTGATAATCCAACAGATGTATGATTATTAAATTTATATCCGATTTGTTATGTAATCGAATATTCGATCTAAAAATTCCATCCAAAATTGAAAAAATAAGGATGATAAAACCAATGTTGAAATTAATTTATTATTTAGGCTCATGCTTTAAACCAACCAATAAGGTCGTAACAGTGAAAAATCCAAGCAAACGTCTGTGCCCTATGTATAACGTATTCCTTTGGCTTTATTATTATTATTATTATTATTATTATTATTATTATTATTATTATTATTATTATTATTATTATATTTTTAATGGAAATTGATGTGGGATGACTTGTGACTTTTTTAATACTAAATTTCATTATTTTCTAAATTATTTATTTTAGTGACAAATAACATGCCATAAAAATATTTAATTGACTTAGCTATTTATAACAAATCGGATTAGGTTGTTATTGGATATGATTGACATATATTCGTATTTGCTCTATCTAATTAACGGATTATTGAATTTAGATTTTGATCGGGTCGGTTATCGGACTAAGAACCTAAGCCTTTGTTTGGTACTTATTAAAATCTAAATTTTAATTTAAGTCCAAGTCAATAATTCATTTTAATTACATATTTTATGGTTTTCACAATTTTTCAACCACATATTTTATCAATTTTTATAAAAATTTACTAAAAATCTTATTATAATTTCCCACCAAACAGGGCTAAATTCATCTCCCATTAAATTAATTGAATTTAGATAAAATTCAGATTGAAATTCAATCAATTGACAGCCCTAATTATGATAATATAATTTGGTTAGGTAGAATATCGAAAAACAAAACATTTAAGACTATTTTTATTTTTATCTAGGATCACAAAAATGTAAAGTTACTTTTATTGTTTTTATAAGGGTGGTTATATTACTGCCATAATTTTTATTTGATACACCACATTTTAAGAGCAATTAAACTTTTCAATCTTTGCTTATTGGAGCAATTATTTTCTTAACTTTTTTTCCAACGAATTTTTTCTTCAAACTTTCATTAATTAGTACGTCTCATCCTTGACGATGATTTATTTCAAGATTTTTATTTTTATACTTTGAAATGAGGAAAAAAATAATTTTCACACTTTTTATTTATTTTTTTTTTAAAAATAGAATGAAAAAAATAAGTTGTTTTACATCATTTCGACAACGGGTTGAAAGACAAAAGTGCCCTTCAACTTCAAGTAGGCTACTTTTTCTGGAACGTAGTCGGAGCTTTTGGACATAAAATTATTATCAAATGCAAAATTTGTTAACTAATGAAAAGTTTGAAAATAAGAATGATATAAAAAATCGTTAGAAACATAATTTCTATAATAAACAAAGACTAAGAACCTTAAATGCAAATAAAATGTAGTGCAACAATTAAAAATTGTGAAGTGAATATAATTACCCTTCTATAAGATATGTTTTGGCCAATTTACTGTTCTTCTCTTAGTTTTAATTAAGAACATTACGCATGTATTCTTTGTATAAATTAGAGACCCAAAAAAAAAAAAGAAAAAAAAATTTGTCTCCCAAAACAATATTTATTTATTGCTTATCTTAGTTTGAATTTTTGTTTTTTACACTGTCTAGTAGTATTAAACGTTACGATAGTACTTTTTTGTATAAAAAGAGGAGAAAAAATTGTGCCAGATCCTTATTTTCCAGATGTATTTTAAAAACATATATAGTAGTTATTTTTATTTTCATACGTAGTTGATACATTCTAATCTCTAATTTGTTTATTCTTCACCAAAAACATAGGCTCCTATAGTAGAGGAACACGACGTGGTGGGTTTTCAAGAGGAGGCGGACTACTTAATCGATCTTCTAAATAAAGGATCGGAGGAACTGGAAGTCACCTCAATCATTGGAATGCCCGGCCTTGGTAAAACAACACTAGCTAGAATGATATTTCGTGATTCGAGAATTGAATATGAATTCTATAATCGTGCATGGGTTTTTGTTTCTCAAGAATATAGTAGGAGGGAAGTGATCCTCAATATTCTGAGTCAGTTTGGTAAGCCAACTAATGAGATGTCTAATAAGGATGATGAAAGTTTAGCTGATGAACTTCGTAAACTGTTGGAAAGAGGAAAGTATTTAATTGTGCTTGATGATGTTTGGAGTGAAGAGGTTTGTAATGATCTCAAAGTTGCTTTCCATGCTAATAGGAGTAGGAGCAGAATCTTATTAACTAGTCGTATCGAGAATGTGGCTTTGAGTGCCAACCTGAATAGGGGGCCCTATAAATTGCGGTTTTTGACACCTGATGAAAGCTGGACGTTACTCCAAAGAAAGGCAGTTGGCTCAAAGAAATGTGACGAAGAGTTGACAAAGCATGGAATGATTATAGCCAAAGAATGTGAGGGACTACCTCTTGCAATAGTGGTAATTGGAGGAATTCTACTGCAAAAAGGTCGCGATAGTAATTCGTGGGAAAGGGTTTCTAAAAGTGTGCATACCTATCTTACCACGGACAAGGAGCAACGCATGAACAAATTTATAGAACTGAGTTTTAATCATTTACCTTATCACTTGAAATCATGTTTTCTCTACTTTGGGATATTTCCAGAAGACTCCCAAATCCCGGTTTGGAAACTGGTTCATATATGGATCGCTGAAGGATTCATACAATATAATGAGGGAATGAGCTTGGAGGATACTGCGGAGGAATACTTAGATGATCTTGTCAACATGAATTTAGTCATGGTTGGAGACTGGACATCAAATGGCAAAGTCAAGACATGTCATATTCATGATATGCTGCATGTGTTTTGTAAGAACCAGGCTAAACAGGAAAGTTTGTTCCAGGAAATTAAAGATCTTGATCAAGTTCCTAGCCTTGAAAAATGTCGTCGCCTTTGCATTCATTCAAACGTTCTGGACTATATATCTTCAAAACCATGTGGTCCACGTGTCCGGTCATTTCTGTGTTTCTCTTCTGAAGAAACTATCTTGCCACGTGAACAGATTTCTTCAATCCCTGATGCATTTAAACTGCTAAGGGTGTTAGATAGTAAACCCATCCGTTTCCAAATTTTTCCCAAGGACCTGTGTCAACTAGTTCATCTAAGGTATCTTGTTCTTACCATCAACTCACATGTCATTCCTCCAAACTTTTCTAAGCTTTGGAATATTCAAACTCTTGTAATTGAGACGGAGTCACGCAATCTTAATATCCAAGCAGATATATGGGAGATGATTCATCTGAGGCATCTAAAAACAAATGCATCCACAACTTTACCACCCCCTCGTAAGAAAACACAGAGAAATAAAGAAGACCTAAGGACACTCTCGACGATATCACCTAAAAGTTGTACAGAAGATGTCTTTGCTCGGGTTCCTAACCTGAAGAAATTGGGTATTCGTGGCCGATTAGCTGAAGTACTGGATGACAAGGGTGGATCTAGTTTGTTCGATAGTGTGGGAAAGTTGGATTGCCTTGAAAATTTGAAGCTATGGAATGATGTATATCCTCAGACACCTTCAGAAGGAAAACTACTAAGCTTTCCCCAAAGTTACAAATTTCCACCAAATCTAAAGAAGCTAACATTAGAAGGCACCCTTCTTAATTGGAAACACATGTCTACACTTGGAATGTTGGAAAGCCTTGAGATCCTTAACTTGAAAGAAAATGCATTCAAGGGAGATTGGTGGGAACCGAAGGATGGAGGTTTCGGTGTTCTTAAAGTGTTGCATATTGGAAGGACGGATTTAGTTACTTGGAAGGCTTCTTCTCACCACTTCCCAAGACTAAGGTCTCTTTATCTGGAGCACTGCAGTAAACTCCAAGAAGTCCCATCCAGCTTTGCAGATGTTTCAAGCCTGCAGCTAATGCACCTGCACTGTACTACTGAATCAGCAGCTACTTCTGCAAAGGAAATTCAGCTGGCTAAAAGAACCGCCCAACATAGTGAAATGAAGCTTACAATTTATCCTCCAGATCATGATAAATCATCAGGTAATAATTTTTTATCTTCTCACTCCTATTGAAGACTTGAGCAGGGATTTCTTTTTTCTTCCCATATCGCAGTATTACTGAAAATGGAAGGTACAGATAATATCCTAATTAGCCTGTCCAGGTTTCTTGTTAAATCAGTTTCATATGTTCTATTTGCTAATCCAAGATGTGAAAAATAAAATGTGAAGGATATATCGTCTTTTCTATGATGCCAATTTCTATGAGAACAAGAAAAATATGCAGGAGGTTTCTATTTTTTTTCTATTTTTATACTATGGAATTTAGAAACTTGAATTTCTAGCGTAGCTGTATAAAATTCTTCAACATTTATAACTGATTGTACTTTCGAAATTCTCAAATGATGTTAGATAAAAGACATGTTTTACATAGTTCAGATATTATCGTAAAAAACTCAAATCATTCTTCTAATTACTTGAGGCCTTGTAACAAAATAGTTTGAAGCTTCAAATATGAATAATATTTGCTGAAATTTGCAGGGTATAAAATTCAATGAAACATAAGTATACGTTTTTATACTTTTTGTGCAGGCAGATAATTCAAGGCCGTAGAAGATGCATGGAGCCAAGCACCCCCCCCCCTAAGTCAACATTTTCTAATTATTGGTGATAGTAAGTTCAAGAATCAATCCATTTTGATGGATTTTTGATATACAAATGAATGAAATTAGCATAAACTGAATTGAATCAAGAATTGTCATTCACCGTTTTCTTTTAAAACATACGACGATCTATTCATATTTTAAGTCACGATTACAAATAATTGCAATATACTATTCGGACAAGGCCTCCGATCCCCCCCCCCCCCCCCCCCCCCCCTTCTTTTTTCTTCTGTTGCTTCTGTTCAACTTTGAAATTACGTAGGGACTGTTCTCTTTGTCGTTTTCAAACCATTTTCTGTTTTCAATTTTTCAAAATGGTGAAAACGCGTTCTCCTTCCCATTTTCGAAAATGCATTTTGGAAAACCAAAAAAAAAAAAATTTGTACACAAAACTCAAAACGTCATACATCTAAAATGACGTTTTGAGTCACTATATTTGGAAAACATGGAAAACGCTCTTTTTAGATCTCTCTCATTTCCATTTCTCACAATCCCTACGTCTCTCCCTCCTCTCTCTCCTTTACCTTTCCCCTTACTGATACGGATGGATGCTCTCTCATCGGAGCTCTATCGTTTCAACACCCTCATTTTCAAGTCACCACTTGTTTATTAACTCATCGGCCCAGGTGCTGCGCCATCGATTTAACTCGTCCAAACAAGGCTTCATCCTCTGTTTGCCAAACAGCAGCAACACTAAGAGCTAAAGACCCACCCAAGTACTTGAGACAGGACGACTCGGAGTTCCGAAAATAGAAACAGAAAGAAGCGGAAATACTCAAAGACATCGAGCCCATTATTTATCTAACCAAAGAAATCCTACACTCAAATTGGTGATTTCTCTCATCCTTTCAAGTTAATCTTGCCTTGAACTTTAGTAATTTATGTTTAGATATTTTCTTCGTCGTCATTTCTTTGCAATTGCTTTTAGTTGCAAGGTTTTTTGAGGTCAAAAAGATGTGGTTTTGATGTGATAATTGAATGTCCAAAGAAGGGATATACAATGTTAAATTGAATACTTAAAAAACAGTTTCTGATAATACATTATTAAGTTACAAAATCAAGTCCTTATCTAAAATCCAGTGATAATATGCATAATTTAGGCTGCTGTCTTGTCCCAATGAGTAGTTTTACGGTGGCAATGACATTTATTTGTGTACCTTATTGATTAAAAGCTAGCACCCATTCTAGTTTATGGAAAGTCCAATATTTGGCTAGAAAAGGTAATTAATGGTTCCGTAAATGAAAGTAATTAATGGTTTCGTAAGCTGTTATCCTATTTGTGCTAGTGATATAGATGGTTGTTTGCGCAGAATTTCCAATTTCTTTTTGGGAGTGTCAAACATAGTGAAGTTCAGATGTGATTTTTTGAAGAAAAGGGTTTTGCATCCTCTCTTTTCTGCTCATTAATTGTGTTGTATAGATAATTCTTTGTACATAAGTTTGCTTAGTGTGTTTATGCATATTGCATTGGTCGAACTTCAAAAAAAAAAAAAAAGTAGCTATGTATGGTGTAGATGGCGTTTGATGAAATTTCTGTGAAGGACATCGTTGTGTGAATGGTCTTTTGTCATGTTATATGAAGGTTATATCAGGACTAAAATGGACAATACTTTTGTCAGATTTACCATTGTCTTTTTTGACTTCCCCCTGGCTATGCTAGTCTCATCCTATATATCCTTTTACCCATTCGACAATCCTTTCTTAGCTCTCTAGCATACATTAGTCTCCAAAAGTATATAGCTACTCTAGTCTCCAAGGTTAAGCTAAACCGATTCTCTATTCTTCCTCCTAAAAACAATGTGCAATCACTATGTTTCAGTTGCATAAATCAATGCTGCTTAGAACTGCAATCGTTAGTAGCAAGATAGAGTAGAGCGTTAGAGTTCGAATGGTGTGATTGTGGTTCTTAGGCCTCAATTTCTAACGTTAGTTATGAGTTTGTTAAACCTTTTAGCTCAAATGCAATGACTAATGAATAGGCTTCTTTTTTTTCATAGGGTATCCAAAACCTTGACATTGAACTTGAAATTGCATCTTGGTATCATCATTTGAAGTTATACCAAGGGATGAGTCTAGTCCTTTGTCCACTAAGAAGCCTGTATTCCTGGAAGTTTTTCTTGAGCATTCAGAGGGTTACTTATCCCGAATGAAAAATCATCCTGGACTTATTGTGCTCACAAGAATGAGTTGCTCGTGCGAGCACCTTGGACTATAATTAGGAGTCAATATTGGTTTGTCGTCTAATTTTGTCGAGTAGCTTGGACCATAAATAATGTGAAGCATGTACCATTTTGTCAAAACTATATGCTTGACATCATGTCAAAATTAACATTTTGTTTGTACCGTAGATCACCTAACACACAATTCCACTTATAAATAATGTGCATTCTAGTTATGTGTCTTTTCATACTCAAAAGCATGGTAAATGAGATGGGAGAATTGTATGCAGAATATATTTTCACTTTTTTTTTCAGACGCTTTTTTTTATTTAGTTATTATTTTTTCATGTATGTGTTAGTTTTGTCAAGGAATAGCTGATTAAGTTTCTTCCTTGAATTGCAGCCCGGAAGCTATTGTGAGGCCATTTTAGTGGTTCGATAGTACAGGGTAGGATATAGCAACAATGTTATTCTTTTGCTATGATGCTGTATACTGCTATGGCAATGATATAGGATTGTAAATATTTCTATCTTACAGATATTACATGAACTTGTGGACGTGACACCTTTCTTCTGTAGAATGAATTCTATTGAGCAATTGAGGAAACTTATTAGTCATTTTTACATAAAGAAATAGGATGGTCAAATTCTGTTGCTACATGTTTTGGCCCTTGTTATTGTTTCCGTGTTTGTGATATGTATAATCATTACGAACCTTGTAATTTTTCTTTTTAAAACTTGTGTTTACTGAGATTGGTGAAATGGAACAATTAGTCACATCAAATCATCGTGTTTGTGTTACATTGTTTTCATTTTCATTTTGCCATGACACGTAAACTTCTAATAGTATCAACTGAACTATGTTGCCAAATTTAATTTAGTATGTGTTTTTTATATCTGTCAAATAATATTTTAAGATTTGTCAGCTTCAAAATTTATATGATATTTCATACCATATTAACATTAAACTATTAAAATTTATTGAATAATCATATTTCTTAAATAAAATATTATAAAAAAAATATTTTTAAAATTTCAAAGTGAACACGTTTTTCAGTTTTATGTTTTCAAAAACAGTTTTTCAGAATGACAAAGAGAACGTATTTTCAACAATTTCAAAACAGGCACTTAAAACACAAAACCTAAAATGAATTCAAAACTGCAAAATTGAAACACGTCGGTGAATGATTTATTTTATTTATTTATTTATTTATTTTAATGTATTTACAATTTCAAGATAAAGAAGATCGATTCTAGTCTAAATGTGAAGTAAGCTTCCTCAAAATCCTTGGTCAGGAGTGTTTAAATTCAATAATTATTTATGATTTGGACATTCATTTTACATCATATCCATAGGCAGGGGTCTAAGAAGGAATTGAAGTATCAAAGAGTGTAAGATAAAAACACAAGATTTAACGTCCACAAACATGAAAACAATGACGAGCCTCTTAGCTAAGAACAAAAACCCAACAAGAAACAACTTATTACAATCTAAAGTTATTGAGTTTACTGAATGCATATTTAAACCAAAAACTAACTAGAAACTTATTAATTAAATAAACCAAACTTCGTATTTCTTAATTACTTTTTGGGTTTTTTTTTTTTTTTTTCCAATTTTTGTCTACTCAATCAAGGGTACTAAAACTACAATGTAATTTCAGTACGTGATGTGAGTTTGACAAAGTTATCTAATAGTTTAAAATTTTTGGTTTGTTTGTTTGTTTGTTTGCTTAGTAGATAGCCTTGTTTGTGTTCACCTATTAAACTTCTATAATTTTTAATTTATTGCTCAATTGAACGGACATAAACCTAATTTAGGTTAACTATACATAAAATCTCAATTTGGATACGCTTGGATGAAATTGACATAAAATAGATGAAATTGGAGTTGATTTGAAACAATTGAAGACCAATCGGATTGCAATTGATGAATTGAAAATACTAATTGTGGACAAAATTTATAAGTCTCCTGAGTCAAATTCAACAATTGAAAAGTTTGAGGACTAAATTGTGAATTTTTGAAACATGCATTGGATTACTTACTAATAGCTTGGGATGATGTGGGCTTAATTTAGAAAATTAAAAGATGGAAAACTAAAGGTGAACATCAAGTTAAAGACCAAAGTGCAATGGGAAAAAAGTTATACGATCGCAAGCCTTAAGCATTGTGATCCCTGTTGTACCACAAAAAAGGTCTATGCGATCATAGGCCAGATAGCGATGCGATCGCTTGGTACAATTTTTGACAGAAAATCTGGTTTCCTTATTTTGATCAACCTCTTCTTGGAAACCAATTATGGGATGAATTTTTGACCTACTTGACTTTATAAAATACTAAGATTCATCCAACAATTAGAGGAGACTCGTGGGGATACATTATATACAAATTATACAAGCCAAATAGGCCCTAAAGGTTCAAATTCATAATAATTTTACAGAGGATAGCCAAAGAGGAAGCTCTTGATCCATAAATCCATAATATTCATTCAAAACTTCATAGAAGGTTTCTTCAAAACGCACATATACCTATTTTCATATATCATTTGCTTAGGTTGAAGAAGAAGAATAATCAAAGGAGACTGATCAAGAAGTCATTGAAGAAATTCAAGACTTTCAAGATTTCTTTCCAATTTTTTGATAAAAGTTGATCAAATATATGGTTTAAAAATTAATAAAAATTGTGAGTTCCATAAAATTTATGATTGAAAATGAGTTTTTAAGGAATGGGGTCAAATAGGGGGTAAGCACGTGTTTGATTTTGAATGATTTATGCACTTAATGCTTTTCAATTAATTCATTACTAGTTGAATTATTTTGTGATTTCTATTGATTTTCAAGAGAAGAAATGTAAATGTGATGCGCAGTAACAATCACTGTGATGTCTGATAGGAGATATAAATATATCTTTGCACTTTGCATTATCTTATTAATGTTCATGTGATATTAATGCATCTTTGTTCGCATATTTCATAAATTTATAGGAATGTCAAATGTGAGGATATGTTTAGCTCTACTCGAGAGAGTTTACTAAATGAATTAGGAATGTTGATTTTCATATCTGAATATGTATTGTCTAAATCTTGAGTTGTGATGAATGTAGGAGGATTCAAAGTTCTAGCGTTTGGACGTTGTCCAATTGCTAGAGTTCCATAACGAATTCAATTAATTAGTTAATTTAGACCTGGATTTTAGAATGTTAATGTAAATTCTTTCAAATTAATCTTGCTATTCGATTAAAGTAGAATTTAATTGAAAACTAGATTAAGTACTTAGTTTTCATGAAAACAATAGCTATGATGCCATATAGTTGCAGGTATTCAATGATCACTTATCTAAAGGCTCGTGACTATGACATCTAGGTGTGGGTTTTACACAATCATATTAGATAGACATCTCTTCAACACAACATCGGATGTTCTTGATTTGTGGTTTTATAACGTTAGATCTTGTGTTTTATCTTACACTCTTCGATTAATTACAATTGATATTTTTCTCAAAAAAAATTAAATTTAGTCGCGATGAGGCATTCCTATGTATAATTAAATAAATTACACATGTTATGAACATTATCCATTATCAACACATGATCCGAATCACAGCCAAGTTATTGAATTATTGTTTTTCAACACAGTTAAAACTGGAAACCTGTTGCACACCGTTAGCCGAAAATTCATTGAGGCGTAATAACGTTGTCTTCACTTGAATTAATAGTGGGCAAAAAAATTTGGAAACTTCCCCCTTCTATATTAATTTTCTAGACCTATACTTTTCACTTGTTAAAAAAATTGCATTTACATAGAAAATTCAATGACATTCAGCCGATATTGATTGCAAACTACAAATTCCAGTCCCAAGAGGCAAATAGATTACGTTGTCTTGCGCGCGTCCAACATTTACCTTTTCTTGATGAATATAACAGTTCTACTTTTACCAGATCGCTACTTCTAAATGGCCATTACCATAGGAGTCTTCTAAATTCACCTATATTTTTTTAACCTTCGTTAGATTGAAAATTTATAATCTTCATGTCACTAAAGAAAATCGAGGCTTCACCTACTGAAAAATCTATTGCTGATGTATTAAGCACGGGGGAGTTCCCAATGTTACCAGGTTTCTCCATGTGTACTTCAAGATATGACTCCGGAGTTATCGAGGTGGTTGTATATATGATGGAGGATGATCTTAGGTTGCACTCATCATTCTCAGAACAACTCCTCGAATATCAATGACATGTCAGACTTTTGTTTTCACAATGCCCACTAGGCAAGTCTATCTTTAGAATTTGAAGGAAAATTTATGTAGTATACTTTGTCGGGTATGATGGGCAAGTATGAAGACGTCACATAGATACTTTAATTTTATGATTAATCTTAACAAGGTTAAATCATTGATGCACACGAACTCCATTCTCATTGTCGAACTGATCAAATCAAATTAAATTGAAGGATATTTTGTGGTTCAAAATATAAAATTTCCTGAAATTCAAATAACATACCTTATGTTCAGGCTCATAATCATTATAACACCTTTCGAGTCTGCATGATTGGGGAACAGAATGACCGTAAATATTGGTGTGTCCATACTCGAAAATTGTTATAATGATTATGTTGGTTTGTGCATACTCGAAAGGTGTTATAATGATTATGAGTGTAACTAATGAGCATATGTTCCTTGAAGTTTGGGAACTTTTATATTTTGGATCACAAAATAGTCCTCTTAATTTCATGTGATTTGTATATTCCCATTTCCTTTTATTTTGGTGAAAAATCCTCCTGGATGGCCCAAACATTATGAAAGATTTCCTATCATCCAAATCTGTTAGTTTGACGCGTTAAATCCACTTAAGAGGCCAAAATGAATAATTTCTAAAAGGGCAATACAGTCTTTTTCCCACCTTCACTTCTTAAGGCGTTGTTTGTTTGATAAATTGTAAATAAATCAGTAAAATTTATACAGTCCATTTACTAGTAAAATTTATCATTATTTACTTTGACGTTATTCTAATTTATAGTACTAACCCTGATGATCATTGGCGACATCTTTGAAAAGTTCTTGTCGTCCTTCATAGAGACAAGTTTTATGCTACAACAGCCGAGCGTTCTTTTTGGCAGACCGTGTAGTATTCTTGGGATATTTAGTTCAAAAGATGGGATAACGGTTGACCCAGCAAAAGTTCGGGCAGTAAATCAATGGCCAAAGTCGACAAAAGTTCATAGTTTTCATGTTCTTACCACACTTCAGTGCCATCATAATGATTTGTGTTACGCCCCTATGTGATCTGCCTCGGAACGCGCACCACCATATTTTCCGACCTAATAAAGACCCGTTCGAAGTGTTTCCGAAGTGATATCAGCAATGTCTGCAACCTAGTAGCACGTTGCGAAGTACAGGCGATCCCTACTACTGACCTGACCGAAGCACCTCGCCCCCGAGGCTAAGGCCAAGTGGACCCCGGTTAGAAGATCTGTCGCCAATTTCAGAAAGAGATTTGTGCCAAGATCCTTCCTGCACCTAAGGTTTAGATTGATTTGACGTCTCCATGAGGCTAGTTGATGTGACTTATCAACTTTATGTCAATTCAACTCAGGAGAAACAAGCTGTCCGCCCACTCTACAAACGCGGCTGATTGACGCCTATGAGCGGACGCCTCATACCGTCAGATGTATACACGTGTCCCACATCCAACGGCTCATCCCACCTATAAATACCCAAGGTTTGGCAAGAGGCAAAGATAAGGAAACTCTTACTACATAGCACTCCATAACAAGCTTATATATTTCTCCT